GGGAGCTACAAGTGGGCTTTAGAGATATCGAAGGAAATGTTGGGTGGAAAGGACTTGCATACAATTGTAACATATGGGGATAAAGCAATGAGGAATGCCATTGTTACTGTGTTTCGAGATGCAACACACCGGGTTTGTGCATGGCATCTTTCAAAGAATATCAAGGGCAAGGTGAAGAATAGCCCAGACTTCAAACCCCAATGGAGCACATTTGTACCTGCTGATTATGAGCAAGAAGAATTTAAAGAGAAATGGAAGGCATTAGTGGAAAAATGTGGTCTACAGAACAACCAATGGGTGACTAAAAATTTATTTGAGAGACGCGGAGAATGGGCAGACACATACTTGCGCTCCCACTACTTTGCCCGGCTGACAACCACATCAAGAAATGAAGGTATAAATTCATTTGTTGGAAGATATTTGAAGGTGAGACACTGTTTGCTTGACTTTTTCATTCAGTATGACCATTGGTGTAGGGATTTGAGGGAAACAGAGATCAAATTATATTTTCAATCTAATTATGGTGTAATCCGCTAAAGAGCATCATCCTTAGACCCTTTGAAGAAAGTGCAGTTAAGTTGTTCTCGAAAGCTGCATTTCTTAAATTTAGAAGTGAACTAGACCAGGTTATTGGGTATTTGGGTGCATAAAGAACAATCAATCTGAGGACGGAAACAATCACACCTACAGTTTAAGTATGTTCAACAAACAAAAGGTTGTGAACAACTAAGCCAAAGAGAATGTCATGAGTCTTGAAAGAATCATAAAATGGATCACAAGTTAGAGGTACTATGCAAAAGAATGCATCTAATGCTTACAGAAAGTAAAAGCAGTGGTATGAGGATTTTGTCGCTAAGGAACAGGTAACGAGGCAATGACCATTAGGTTGATGGTTAGAGGCTAAGACGGAGTATCAAATAAAAGAAAGTAAGAGATGCAAAGTTAGGAGGTACAAATCCTCGTATTAAAATGGATTACCACAAGCTCGGCTTGGGGAAATCGCAATGGACAAATTTTGAGGGCGAAATTTCTACAAGTGGGGAGGAAATGTGATACCTCGATATCGATTCAGATTCAACAACAAGTATTGAATCAGTTGAATCGAGGCATCAAACAGAATCGAAATCACACTACCAAGCCAAGTTGGAGAATTAAAAGGGCAATGAGTCACTCAAAGCTATTCGATGCCACCGAGCTAGGTGAGAATACATGTTATAGTCAAGAGTACATATAAGAACTATAGTAAACTATACTGGACCAACAAAGGAAACCATTAAAGTTCACATAGTGTGAACAAATTCTTGAGGCAAGAAAATACAAGAACGGTGTTGACAGAGGAGTGAGTTTCGAGAAAATTTCGGGGACGAAATTCTTATAAGGGTGGAGGAAATGTTACACCCCGACATTTGGGTTCAGGTTCCACCCAAACGTGGCCTAAAAAGTGCTCTTGCATTCCTCTTTCAATGGCCCCAACGACCTCCTGACCTTTTGTGATCTGGTGGTTTGTAGGATCTCTCATATCTCAATCCATCCTCTTTCTAGCTCGGCGTTGTTCAATAGCACATTGTTATTCTTGATCCAAGCTCGTTCTCTACCTCGATTATATTGACGCTTGTCTTGTTCCTTTAAAGGCTTGCTATCAGCCTAACTCCCCAGGGTCATGTACGCTCTTCTCTAGTGACGTAGTTTATCTATAAGGGTCCATTATCGTCATATGTAAATGACCATGCCTCCTCTACGCCTTGACCTATTGAATTTTTGACTTCTTTTCGTACTCCCTGTAACCTACTTATTTCCTCATTCGCTTCCTTTATACTACCCTATCATTTCTTAAAGTCTAAACTTTCTTCTGCTCCTTGTCACTGCGTCGTAACCGTGGCGACCACTAAAACCATTTGTGTGGCTTCTAGGGATACTTTTTTGTTTCTTGACTCGTTGCCCACTTTCCACTACTTAGGACCAAAGACCCTAACACCCTCCTATTATCATAGCTACTGGCAGCTGGTGATTGTACGTCTTCCTTCTAAGGTTCATATTTCTCCTCATTGTTTGTCTTAGCTTATGAGATTCTCCACTTGTCTCCAAGCAGTAAAATTCTCGTACTACTCTCTCAACTCCTTCAAAATCCTCGAGGTATTCCCTTTCAATTGGCACCTCTTTGTTGGTGTTTGGAGTTGAAGTCCTGACACTTTTGATTCCACCTCCACAGACCTTTGCAACGTTCCTCCTTCCTTATCTAGGTTGATGATAATGATCTATTTGATAACGTCCGAGTAGTTGGTTAACTAATTCAAAAACTACTATCCATCGTGTTGACGAGATACTTGATCTTGAGAGCCTTCGAGATTCTACTTGGGTTGGTCACGTTTCTTGCATATTTTCTTTCTTACTAACGATCGCCATATGCCTAAATCTCTCATTTGACAAACCACGACGTGTTAACTAAATCGTCGCCCAGCTTATTCTTAAACCAATTGCACCCTTGCGCTACCATTCCGTCATGTCGTACCTTCGTAGCTATTCACCTTATTATGATTAGAGTGGACCGGAGATTCCGTAAACTCTTAAGAGAAAACCCTTGACTCATTTTTCTTTTCCTTTAAAACAAGAGCCTTTAAAAACGGAGATCGATATTACAGTATTCCTTGGAGACCAAGGAACAGAGGAAGACCGGCTATGATACCAAAATGAAACACCCTAGTCCGGCCGGACACTACTTTTACCAAAATACCCTTGATAAAATGTAAATCAAAATTTGAAAAAAAAAGACTTGAAAAAAAATAACAGAAACCTTTCATAAATAACTTTAATCATATTAAAATTAAACTGACATCTCTTAAAACAAAGCCCTAACACTTGGGCAAACCTCAAACACAAAACTCTTAATCTGAATCTCCAGTAACTACTCATAATCGTAAAGCAATAACTAAAACTCTACTTTGTTGTTTACTCGGATTCGATCTCTGGCACCTTCAGTGACGCTTGTACTATCCTCCTCTAGCTGGCTTGCCTCGAGACGCTCTCTCGATCTCGCTGCTCTCTACTGCTCCTCTAGCTAGCTGTTATCGATCTGGTTCTCGCTCATTCCTTTACTAAGGTCTGGTGAGTGAGATGGGGTCAGTCTACGCCCTTACGTTTAAAATTTGTTATACTTGAGTACTTTGCTTAAACACTTAACTTTAACTGGTGGAAGTTGTTTGTACTTCCAATCTTAAAATCTTAACTCTTAAACTTTGAGGGAGTTAAAGTTACTCTCCTCTCTTAAAGCTCAAATCTCGACTTAAATATATGACTGACACTGGGATCCCTCACTAGCTAGTCCGGTTGCCAACTCATACGTATGAGAGCCCATCCAGGTTTTCCTTAAACTTAAACTTATCGTGGAAGGCTCTTCTTCCACGATTCTCAAGAGCATAACTGCTGCTCATCTTAAAATATCTCGAGAGCATAACTGCTGCTCACCTTAAAAGTCTCACGAGCATAACCGATGCTCTATCTCAAAGGTCTTGAGAGCATATTGCTGCTCTATCTCAAAATCTCAATTGGCAACGGACTGACGCTAGTGACTAAAAATACTTAAAACGACTTCACCTTCTTGAAGGTGAGTTACTTCTTAAAAGAAAGCGTGTTCTTAAACTTCAACTTACTTATAAATAGAGCAAGCATTATAATATGTATAACTGGAAGTATAAATCACACGCAATCACATGCATCATATAAACACACAAAGACAAGTATAGCACACAGCAGTCAATCTCAAAAACTGAAATACCGTAAGACGAAGAATTTACCCTTTTACACTCACCTTACTATCTGTGTCGATGGCAGCGTAGCACGAACTCCTTTATTCATCAGGTAACCTACGGTACACAAAACAAAACCGTGGATATTGCATTACTCCAACCGGTTTGCTAGTTGTCTTGCATAGTTCCATCTTCTTCCTTCACGCGTTAACTCCTTACTCACACGGGACACCAATGATTGCCCCTCGTAGAGGTCATCCATAACTAGCTAACATGATAGTGAACCACCCCTAGCTGTGTAGCTGCCATCCACGCACAAAAACATTTGCTTATTGAAATTACCAACCCCACCTTTTCCTTGGATTCCCCAATTTCGTACTCCATGCCAGAACCATTCCCGTTCCTCATGCTTATTATTATCTCTTTAAAAGAACAAGTTACAACTTTACTGTTTCTTAGAGTCACATCCAAACACTGTGACTTAGTTTGCTTTTTTGGGTCTCTTCCATTGGGTGCTCTTTCCCATATACTTGGCTTCCTCCCGTCACTTCCCATCTGACAAACAAAGACTTTCCTTCCTCAACTCTCTCTTCCTAGCCTTTTCCTACTTCTCACATACCATTTCTCAGCCACTCACCCTCCTCACTCTGTTGGAAGAAGAAGAATAAGAGAAAAAGCTACTTTGGTTTTCCATTCATTTAATATTTTCCCTCCATTCTCTCCCTCTTTCCAATCCCGCACCAACCTGTAATCTCTTTGGCTTGATCATAATATCAATCATACATGGATATAGAGTAAGTTTCTAATCCCTTCCTACTTTAGATTCTTAGTTTTCAGGGTTTTTGTTCATCCCTGTTTGTTGATTCTGTTTTTGGATGGGTTTGTTCATCACTTTTGCTCATTCTTTACAGATCAGAGTTTGTGGGGAAAGATATGATGGAAGATTCTAAGTTTTTAAGGTTTTTGTCCATCCTTATTTGTTGCTTTTGTTTCTGGGTTTTGGTGTTGATGGTTTGATTCATCAGTTTTGCTCATTCTTTACAGATCAGAGTTTATGGGGAGATACATGATGGAAGATGGAGTCACATGATAATTTTTGTTGGATCTGCTTTTGTCGATTTCCGTCGTCTTCAGTTGGTTCATCATGTATGCTATTCTGTTCCCATCGTTGTTCTTGGGGGAGATACATGATGAAAGATAGTGAGTTAAAATAAAAGAAAAAAGGTGGGAGTGGCTGGTAGAAGGTAGAGTAGGCAAATGCTGGTTTGGCTGAAGAGAAAGAAGGCAGTGGATTTGGACGTTGGAGGCTTGGATTTGCTTCATGGCGGTGTGATTCTTCATGCTCAGCGTGGTGGAAACAACGTTCAAAGGCAAGTCTCTCACTTCCTCTTTTTCACTGCACCTTGAATCTGATCACTCTGAAACAATCTCTTGGTCTCTCTCGAGTTTCGACCTTACTCTTTGCTTTTTGTCGTTGGTTATGATGGCCTTCAAGTAGTGGTGGAAGTCAAGTAGTCAAACTGCTTTTTCCTGCAGCCATAAGGTTATGTGAAGGGTTTGATTGGGTTGTCTGTGTTCAAGATTTTGGGAGAATATTGATTTCATTGTTGTAGCTAAATCCAACCAATCTATCTAAATTTTCCAGCAGCTTGCTTTGTTCGTTCGCCATGGACCAAGGAGCTTGTGAATTTACAGTGCAGACAATTATAATTTCACCATTGATATGCTAATAAGATTTCCGCGCTGAGCATGGGGCGGCGTACGTATCTACTTTGGTTTCTAATGATAGTCTTAGGTGGAGGCAATGGGGAGCAGGCCTTCCTATTGCAAGGGGGGGATTGTGCGGAGAGTTTCCTGGATTATAATGACAACACCAGTAGGGACACCTTCCGTGTTATTCTCTCGGTGGCCATCGTTCTCACTTTCAGCGCTCAAATGCCCGTCATCAAGGCTAAAATCAAAACCCCTAATTTCTTTGATTTGGTTCCAAATTCGGTTCAATTTTCAATTCCTTTTTTCCTTCGCCTTTTTAGGTTGAGATGATGGCTGCCCAGTTTGCGAAACCTGGGTCGGATTCATTTGATACCAAGGATGGGATGAAGCTGCCAAGTTACCGAGGAGATAACATCAATGGCGATGCCTTTGATGAGAAATCTAGCGTTCCTGGTCCACAGAGGCTTATCAGAGTTTACCTTCAGTCTGTTGCCACTTTGAATCTTGTCAAAGTTTTTTGCCACCGGTGGATATTCTGCTATGCATAGAGTTTCTCGATGGAATCTTTACTTTTTGAAGCACAGTGAGCAAGGAGAAAGGTATAATTACTTTGCTTATGCCTTTTTATTTCTTTCCTCAATTGCGATTCGGAAGGTTTTATATTTTCATCCAAATGGCTAGCAAATTTTGTCTTTAGTTTTTCCCTTCTTACATGGAACTAGCGAGTAGGGTAGATGATGCGATTGGGTTCATGGTTGCAGCTGGTCTTACCATTGATCACCCCATCATGAACACAACCGAGTTTCGGACATCACACGAGTGCCTTCATCTGCCTTACGGGCAGGCCATGACAAGGAGTATTCGCGACGGGTCTCTTCTATGACTGCTCTGCTCATGTGCTCTGGGTAGGGGAGAGGACTAGCCAGTTGGGTGGAGCTCATGTCAAGTTTCTCTGGGGTGTCTCAAACCCTCTTGCCATTAAGGTACGATAGATGTGTCCTTCATCTCTGGAATCATTAATGAATAATGATCATAACGTTTAGCTACATGGAGTGATATTCTTGCATCATGATTCTGTTTTAGTTTCCAACTCTTTAAGAAGAGAGTCCATATCTTTTGCAACAAAAGACTGTACTGATTTGTATAAATCACACAGTCCACCAACTTAGAATCATAATCTTCCATTTGGGTAGGTCATATAATGTGCATTGATGCCGTAGCGTTGTGGGATTGGAGGAGGTGGAGACCGAGACAACGATGGAGCTTTGGCGAGAACGACGGAGGGAAATTGCACTGGACGACAGAGGAGACATTCGAGGATGGCCTATGTAGGTTAGTTTTATCTCTCAAAATCTTGGAATTCTTGTACTGATTGAGTAGACTTCTACCTATCCATGGTTCACTTGGCCCAACTCCTACTCAAGCTGGCAGAATTTGGTATATACGTCATGTTTTTCATTTCGAATTTCTTGCCTGTCAAACTGAATTTCATAAACTTATACTGTGATTGGTATTTCTGGATGGCGTTAGTCCAACTTTAGGATCTTTATTGTGATAGGATTGTAGAAGCCCTTTGTGCTAAGTCAGATTTGTTGGATCATTTGTAGTTGTGACTCTAAGTTTGCATTCTCGCTGCATATTCTATAACTTTCCTGGTCTTTGGGTGTCGGTGCATACTCTGGTGTGCAGAGATAGCTACGGAGCTGCAGACTAAGTCCAAAATGTGTCCCTGTATTGCAGATGGGTTACTCTACCATTCTTATTTTTCGAGTTCCCTGCATAACTGTGTTGCCTCATACTCTATTTTCATTTTACTTTTTGGGACTTGCTATTTCAAATGCACAGAACCCACTTTCTTGGGAATATTAGGGAAGTTCTCTATTGAGTTCCACTAATGAGTCCCTTAATGATTTCATGCTTCATTTGCGGCAATGCGTCTGGTTTCCTGGCAATGGAAGAAGGGATCTGGCAAGAGGAGAGATGGCAATTTAGCATGCAAAAACAAGGATAAGTAGGTATGACCTTCGTTCGATTTTATTTCCCCTATTTGTGATGTATGCAACATTTGGAGTTCAGTGAACAGACAAAGGGGTATATGTCCCTGGATTGCAGGTTTTTTTTAATTGTTTTGGGGTGGGAAGGAGACTAGGAGAGTGAACTCCGAGCTGCTTCCATTTCATACGTACAAGACAGGTCTATAGAAAATAGTTCCATGTTAGCAATGTTAAATTGTTTAGCATCTTCCATTAGATACTAATATTTATTGCTCTGTGCAGAGATAGACATGTTCAATGGTTAATAAATTTCATTCACAAAGTTGTATGTCTGCATGTAGCACTAATGGATTGCGAGGTCTTGAGGTGAGTATTCTTTCTTCGTCAATTGATGCTCATGAATTGTTTTGATTTTCTTTTCTTACATGGAAAACTTGCTGTTTTGAGTTCATGGGAGACCATTTCAACACTATCACTCCCGCCATTATAATCCCTTAGTTAGTTAGTCTCCCCCCATCACTAGGACGCAAGGGTCCCCAATCAAACCATTGACTTTTCTGAGTTCGCTACTCTCCACATTGCCTTAGGGAAAACCCAGGGCCTACTGATGTATGAGCTTTGAATGAGATGTGGAAGATAGGGATATGGGAGTTCTATGCATTGGCGAGACATTTTTTAATTATCTCTTCCGTCGTTTACATTTTTTCGTAGTTAGTATGAGTCTTGAGAATTGGAGAGAAATGTCAGGAATTTCATGACAGAGATGAGGGCTAGGAATTTCTCATCCTTGAGTTTGCTTTTTAGGTTTCAGCCCGACATTGATAGGAAACCTGTGGTGGGAGAGAAAGCGTCTGAAGGTTCATCATTCTCAAAGATAGACCATCGGAACTGGCCATTGGTGGTGAGCTCATCTCTCTACCATGCTTGGAGGCTGCCTTTTACAATTCCCAATTTGGGGTTTGTTTCTAAATCAGGAGTTGTTCCGTGTACATCCCATTGTTGCCCTCACTAACATCCCTCTACTTCCGATTTCGCAGGAGTGGGTATTGAACACAAAGTTCAAATGAGAGAAGGAAGTGGTCATAAGGTGACTTAATTAATGAAGGCAAAGGATACATGTGTCTTCAAATCACAACATTGCAGCAAGAACTGGTGAAAATCGAAGAAGCACAAAATAATGCAGGAAAGTTGGAATGAGAACTCACTTATGTGAGAAAGGTACAAGATGATAAGGCTTGCTTGGTAGAGGAGAAAGACAGCCTAACTTGAATTCGACATGTCATTGCAACAGCTAGAGGCAGGCAACAAGGCATACAAGCAAATGTACTTGGAACTAGAGGCTAAGGCTACAACTACAACAGTCACTTTCGAAGAGAGAGTCATAGAACTAGAAACTCCTACAAGATTCAAGAAATGAGCTGAAAGGCCTTGAAGCAACGTTGAATTCTAGACAACAGAGTTGGAATAAGAGAGAAACCAACTTTCTGAAGTTCGTAAACTTGCAGTTTCATGCATTGAATGCTTACTCCTTATTTACATTTTACTCTCATTTAGCTTTCACTCTCATTGACAAATTAATCCACTGGACAGCTCCAACAAATGTGAAAAGAACTGAGATTTTGTTTAACATGCATCGAGGAAGACGCCTTACAAGTACAACAACTCTTCTGTGACGTTTTGCAACCTACGAGTGAAGTTGAGGCCATTGGTGCTATGAGGCAAAGGCAGGCAAATGAGGTAATCCATAAACTGATATATTGTTCGGAAATTTGAATTTGAGTAGTCTGGCTGTTCTTCTTCTTCTTCATGTTGGTTTCTCTTCGCTATTTATATTGAATTCTTGGAATCAGATATTGGAATGTTCTTTTAGATAGGTTTTTTCCTTATATAAGCATGTTTGGCTAGAAATATTATACATGTGAGTGGTTGGAACCCTACATTTTAATCACCATATTAGATACAAAAGACCTATTAGTTTTCCTTCTTAAATTGCTTATGCTCTTTTTCTACACTGGCTTTTCGTTGACGCTGTCATTAGGTTACAATGTTAGAGTTGGGAGCCATCGGGAATTTTAAGGTCTCTCAACTATCCTGCTTCAAGGTCATAAATCTTGATTTTGGTTTTACTGCTTTGTGGAACAGGTTAGTGTTGGGAGAGTTTGGATAATTGGATGGTTCTGCTTTCTTTTGCTAGGCTTGGAGAATGGGAATGAGATGTATAATTGGTTTATTTGAGCGTACTGTTGATAGCTGCTTACAGGGGATTTGCCCTTTTATGATGCACAATTATGTTCATATGCAAAAGATAAGGCTGTGTGCTGCTATTCTCACCGAATGCTCTGGATAATAGGTCCGCTGGAGATCCTGATGGGTGGTTATTAGATCCACAAAGCTATGAGTCGTGGTCAGAACAAAGAAGCGCAATACTATGTAGAACCTCTTTATGAGCATGAAAAATATCAAACTGACCTTGGCTAGGAAAAGCCTGTGTTGGAGGCTCAATGAGATGTTGTCAAGGTAAGCTTCTCTTCGTTGTTTTACCAAGTACGCGTATTGGATGCCCGATCATGCAATGAGTATTGTGTTGCATTGTGTATCATTTTACAAATATCTGTATGTTTCAGTTTCCCTAATAACGCTACTGTTTCAATTTCTACTCGCTTCTTGCTTTGGTTGCTGATCCTTTTGGGTTTTAGTTCATCTAAAATATATTTTTCATGGGTTTTCAGACTGATCGCCCCTTTGAGGATGTTCGGCTTCGAGTTCCTTTCTCGATTTCTTCACCTTAGGGGAGTTTTGCATGATGAGAGACCATGTCAACTGAATCTTGGTGATCTCCGTTAGTCCTGCTCGGTCGAATTGAAGTTGGAATACTGCAAATTACTTTTATTTCGTTAACAATTTCTGGGTTTTGATTTCATCGGATCTATTTCTCCTTTTTAATAGTTGGTTGCTTGATTTCAAGAACTTCATGAACATACCTCTATAACTGCATTGGGGTCAGCTTACCTTACTCTTGACAATCTTTAATCCAGTGTTGGTCAGTTCGTCGAGCAATTTATTCATGACCTTTTGTTTGGAATTGTGCAGAGACGCATCAAAATTTGCTGGAGATGATTTTTTTATGTTGATGGTTTTTGGAGGTCAAGAGCTCTATTGTTACCTATTGTAAAGGCGTGTCTGCCGCCTTTCTTTATCTTTAGTGGTGTGGTTCAGTTCCTTTGAATTTATGAGCTTCGAGAGTGCGTTTCCAACTTAGATTTTGGTTGGTTCTTAGCTGGTGTTGAGATGGGGATTGAAAAGTAGAAATAGGGTGCTTTTAGATTGTTGTTCACTGATCTAAATAGTTACTTGCAAGATGCAGCAATATAGAGATGGAGATGAAATTGAGAGCTTCCGTGCAACCACTCTATACCTTTATTGTTCATGTACTTCCTACTTTGTTTGATCAGATACTTCCATCTACCCATGCCAGAGTCTTGCTTGCTTATGTACTGTTAGACTGGACCTTATTGGAATTTGGAATCCATTGTTGCAGAAGGTAATTACACCAGGATGCATGGCCCAAATTAGTTTTGGTTAGAGAATGTGTATTGCACATCTAATTTGAAAATTTGGGAGAATGCAATCTGAGGAACCTGTGGTTATGCCATGGGGCCGATAGAGAAATTGTTTGCACACTACTAAATAAATACCATTTGTTCAATTATTTATTATTTTTTCCTTTTGATGTTTATATAATATATGATCTTTTGATTCATTTCTTGAAGTGGTGTTCGTGACAAACTTATATTATCTGCCCTCAATTCTGAATGTCTATTGCAAATTATTCTACTACCCGCCTCGTAGCGCGGGCTTCCGTACTACAATTGCAGAACACGAATTTCGTTTAGTACAATGGTGGAACAAAAGTTGCAGAACAAGAATTTGTTGTCTCAACAGAACTACTGGTGTGGCTGTTGCTGAAACTGGATACTATCCAGTCTGAAGAAGAAGGTACTGTTCGACGGAAAGATCAGGTAGCCATAACTAGAAACCAGCGATATGTTCTTTGATTAGATTGATACATTTTTTCTTGAGTTAAATAACTGGAAATCCAACAACTCTTGAGTACAACTTCTTGCTATGCTGAAGTTTTTATACTTTTGTTCACAGCTTTTACATTTTCATCGTAGTACAAGACGAGACAAACTCCTACTACTTTCTCCTCAACCACGATGCAGTAGCCGCATTATTCCAAGAATTTCGTTTGAGGTGCGTACTCGACATCTTCACCTCAAACAAGTTGGTCGCCATGAAGATGTGACATCGCCATACACGACCATGTCGAACAACAAGGCTCTTCACTTTACAACAATCGATTGCCTGAATTCCGCTTGGTTTCACAATCATGTCATGTAGCATTCCCTTTTTTGGTCAGATTGTCTACCTTTGCTTAAATTCGCAAACATTGTCTTCCCTATAACTGATGTATTATTGATATGGTCCCTGTTATTACGTCATTTACAGTTTGCACTAATTGTACCCGTTCAGGAAATCGCTATATGCCGTTTGATACATATCATAAATTAGCGCCCGTCGCGGAGCGCGGGCTTTCCTTACTAGTTTATATAACTTCACGTCCAGGGGGATATAGAAGGATCCTGTAATCACTTATTAAATATCTTGTCCAACCATCTCATCGAAACAAGCAGAACTACGAACAGCAGCTCGCGTACCTAGTATATAAATTGACCTCCGGCCGTCAGTGTTCCTTCTCGAGGTGTCGTCCTTCCCTATATCTCAACGTCGTCGCTGATCAATGCGGTCCTCTTATCGTAGCTTGCCGGAACAATCGGAATCCATCCCCTCCTTTGATTCATGGTTGTCTTCCAACGTAACCCGCTCTCTATCTCTCTCTCTCCCGAATGGGGTTCATCGATCGCTAGCGGCGGATGACATAACCACTTCTTATATACATGTGCACTTGTGTTTATCAAATCCTTTTGATATACCCTACCTATCTCGCCTGCAACTCCCATGTAATGCTTTTCATGAGCAAACCTTGCCTTGTTTTCCATCGGCCCAAAGATGTCACGGGACCCAATATTTTGCTGCCATCAGAGGGCCCTAAGTTGGCCCAAGCTACGTCACAAGGTTGGTCCAACTTAATTGAGCTAACTTCTCGTACCTAATCCTCTATCCATTCATATGATCGATTTAGTATGGACCTCGTTAACGTAATAATAATTGCTATTATCATTATTATTATTGCTCTTTCTCCACGGTTGCAACCCTTTCACTTGCAACGATAAATTTGGGCCGCGTCAATTGTCTGAGACTTGGTTCTTGACCTGATTTGGTTTGATCATTTCGTACTTAATCGTCGATCTAACCGTTCATTTATTTTGGTCGAACCTGAACCCAAATGTCGGGGTTTGATCATTCATAGCGGAGGGAATTTTTTAGGCCACGTTTGACATTAGTTGTTCATTCACCACCACATCCAACGCTAAGGTATCACTTTCCTATAAGACTTTTTAATTTACTGCGAAATGAGATGATCTAAATTCCTTCAGTTGTAGGTTTCAAAATAGTACATTTACAATCACTTATTACATAGTTTCCATCTCCTACTTTTAAATGTGTGAGATTTAAAGTTTCTTTATCTAGATTGCATAGCAAAATATGAACCTGTAAACATTGGCAGAGGTGAGTGAACAACTAAAGATCACAATGATTGTAGCTTTAGTGGTATGGAGGTATATTTGAGCTCATAAATCAATTAACAACATATCATCTTTCATTGAAAACTAAGCGAAATTTAGGGAGTTATTCATTGTTATATAAAAGTATTTAAGTAAAATATTTTTGAAAACTGAAATTGCATGCATTAGTGAATAATAGAGTTCTTAATTAATATATATATATATATAATAGAGGAGTATATTATACCTATAACCCATTAAAAAATATACAACAAATTTGTTCAGTCTAATTTGTTATGACCAAGGTTGTCACTCGATTCCACAAATGAGTCGTTTAAGCAAGTGGGTTAAGAATTAATGAATGAATTGGATTAACCTGATTAAGCCTAGCTTTACCTAGGTGCATGAAAATTTTATTGATTTCACATGTATTATGCTTAGATATTTATGAAATTTCTATGATAAATTTAGATACAATGACGATTTAATATAACTTATTCGTTGTAATTGAGTTTCATTTTTATATTTTTCTCTCACTTGGAACTGATGTTTTAAAATGACGCTTTAATTCTAAATCTCTTCCCTCTTTCTTTTTATCTTTTTCCATTTCATTTTATAGTTTTTTCTTTTCTTCTTTTCATTGCAATCATATTCCATTCTCAATGTTCTTACTCTTCTTCTCCAATTCGATTTCATGTATATATACAAATGAGGACATTGGTCTTTGTTAATCACACAAAGTCTCAATCCAAATATATGTTCGTCTAATCTTGTGGCTTGAGATGTGGTTGATTGGCGATGTGACCTTGCTGCTGGAAGGAAAATGGCATTGACTACTGAGGAAATGTGTTGGCTTTTGAGATGATTGGGACTTGTATTGTTGCCTCCCGATACTAAAGGAGGAAAATATATTATGGGATAACTTAACACGGGTGGTTGATGTATGTTGCTGCATGAGTATTTGATAAGGAAAAGAACGACATGTCAACAGAGCTAGTGATTAGATTTGTTGAAAATGATGTCGGTTTGAAGTGACTCAGTGCTTAGATGAGTTAGTTGAATCAACTCGATTTCCAAATTCAACTGGTTTTCTTAGTTTGACCAAGTTTGGGTTGATAACCAACTGGGCCTCCAACATCCTAACAAATACTCGGGTTTGGGCAAAACTGATTCGCCCAACCTTGGGCAGGCAAAACTAATAATTGTGAAGGCAAATATACCATTCATACTTTCACTCTCATTGTAGGAATTTGAAACGGGAAAATACTTTTCTCATTCCAGTCTTATATATTGTATTGTGTTTAGACGTAGACATATGTCATTAACATGTACAAAAATGGTGAGATGAACCAATAATTAAGCTCATTCTCATACAATGATCATTGGATCTAATCATGCCAAATTAGGAACATGTTGAAAGCTTAGCAGTTAACCCGGCGAAAACGTTAAAAAAACCAGTCTTATATAGTCTGCATAAGCAATGCAGTCAAAATCGCGCTTTAAAACTTAAAAACTTACGATTTTACGCTTTTGGGTCACCAAAACGCTTTCGTTTCTATATAAAAACTTAAGTGTATAAAATCGGACTAAATTGCGCTTTAAAGCTTAAAAACTTACGGTTTTACGGTTCTAGTTCACCAAAACGCTTTACGTTTTTACGCTTTTAGTTCACTAAATGAGTATTCTTTTCATGAAATTAATTATAAAAAGTATATTTTTAAAGTAAATCACTAACAATATGATACATTTGAGATTAAAAGATTCATACTAGGTACTTGGATGCATTCTACTTCAATAGAGTAATCTAATTCACCAGCTAGGGTTTCCCAAATTCATTAGCATAGAGGGAAAAGTGGCTTATCGTTAAAATTTATGTTTATGAACTTATTATTAAGATGCTATAAGTTGCTCTACTTTAAACATGAATCGCATGTATTTATTAACTTATCCAAATTCTGTGCATTTATTTGCATAGCATATGTCCTACTAAATAGATTTTTAGTTATTTTTCAGTATGCGTCAAAAACTTACGCTTTTACGCTTTGATTCTACGCTTTACGATTCTACCCCTTTTCCGCTTCTAAGTAGAATCGCGCTTTTGACTGCATTGTGCATAAGGATATGATTTCTTCATAGTTAATTCTAAAAATTAATATTAATTTAAAAATTTGGCATTGCTTCGACCTATTTAATACTCTAATTTTATATGCAATATTCAACCAAGTGATATATGGGTTGCAATTTTAAAGTTATCCTCTGTTTATAATATACATTGAAATATAAATTAAGTATTAAAATACAATTAAAATAATAAAAAATATGAAAGTCGAAGTATCAAATCACCAAATAAGTACTTATGAGAGATTTAGTTGCTAGCTAACCGCTGGAAAGGTCTTCTGATTTTTGAGATTTTAGGTTTGTGTACGTTTTTCTTTTAAAAGATATAACAAATATATGTAGCATGATTGGTTGTAGCCCTTCCCTCTCTCAAAAGTGGTCATGGTTCAAATCCTCATATGTATATATTTTTTATGAATAAATAAGAAAGAAATAAGTAGTTGTGAAGACAAAAATGTTCTTCCTACTTTCACTCTCGATGCAAGAAATTTGAGATGGAGCAATGGGTTTGGCTTTCACCTTTAATAATATGTGTTGATCATAGTCTGAAAATCCTAGTCCCATTAATAATGATAAACATCAACAATAAGATGATTATATTTCTAACATGATTTATTGCTCGGGTATATGAACGATGAAACCCTCCATGCTCACTCTGGTGCGTTCCGAGATTACAGAGCTATGTTATATGCAGTATTAAGCCACCTTCACTGACCTACTATGTATTGATTTATAAGATAGAAATCTAAATAGTTTTGCCA